GGGGGAGGGACCAGGGCTCTAAGACTCAAGTCAGAGACTTGGGTTTGGTGGCGGGGAATGGGAAGGCGGGTGATATTCCCCCGAGAGAGAGGAGTCCTGTGTCTTTCATCCCGTGTGCTGTCCCCCCGGGTCCAGAACAGTGAACCCCGGGCTGGAGCAGGACCATTCTGCTGCCTCTTCCAGGTTCTCTAACTCCCTGGCTTACTACGGGCTGGCCATAGACCTGCAGAAGTTTGGACTCAGCGTATACCTGGTCCAGGTCCTGTTTGGGGTCATAGACATCCCGGCCATGCTGGTAGCCACCACCACCATGATTTACTTGGGCCGCCGGGCCACAGTGGCTTCCTTCCTCCTCCTGGCGGGGCTCATGGTGATCGCGAACATGTTTGTGCCAGAAGGTGAGCCATCCCTCACCTTCCCGGCCTCCCTCCCCCCTTTCCAGGCTCCAAGCCTCACCCTCTGCCTCCTCTCCATGCCCCAGCCCCTCCTGAGCGCCCTGCCCCCACCACTACCCCTCTGCCTCCCTGATCCCGTCTGGGGCTCCGAGCACCCCCAACCCTCTGCTCTGCCTCCCCCCTCTACAGACATGCAGGCCTTGCGCGTGGCCCAGGCGGCACTCGGCAAAGGCTGCCTGGCCAGTTCCTTCATCTGTGTGTACCTGTTCACGGGCGAGCTGTACCCCACAGAGATCAGGTGGGTGCGTGGGGAGAAGCCGAGCAGCACCTGCCCCAACCTGGAAGGCCCGGGAGCTCCAGGTCGACACCTGCTGGGCTTGCTGAAGCAGGACCCCCTCTCCTCTCTGCTCTGCCCCCTGGCACCCAGGCCCTGGCACTCCCAGCCCTCTGGGAGGTCTGGGCCATGGCCACTGACCGTCCACACTTTCTAGGCAGATGGGGATGGGCTTTGCTTCGGTCAGTGCCCGCTTTGGGGGTCTGACTGCACCCCTGGTCACCACGCTTGGGGAGTTCAGCACCATCCTGCCGCCCTTGGGCTTCGGGGCCACCTCGATCCTGGCCGGCCTGGCTGTCTGCTTCCTGGCTGAGACCCGCAACGCGCCCCTGGTGGAGACCATCGAGGCCATGGAGAGGAGGTGAGGAGCCTCTGGGCACGGTGGCCAAACAGGCCCAGGTCCCCCGTGACACAACCCGGGGCAACGAGTGTCCTCCTGCGGCTGCTACGATGTCATGGCGAGTGGGGCCGTACTGGGAGACTCGTGTAGGCCGCGCCTACGCTTGTGTCTGGGATCTCGGCTTAGCGTCCAACAAGGACAGAGCCGGCAACCAGTGTCAAAACAGAGCCCAGAATAAACCGTGGACCAGGCAAAGCAGGCACGTGAGCTGAAGTAAAGCGGGGCAGAGAAGCAGGGATGGCAGTTTGTGGGGAGGGGAGGTATCACATCCTGACTCAAAGACAGGCTCGTGTGGCTGCCGTGGTGGCCTTCAAATTTGGCTCAGAGATTCCTGGCAACAGAAAGGGAGAGCCCGTTAATGACTTTTGTCCTACTGTCAGAGAGACAAAGTGATACCAGTTCTCTGGGGAAAGTGAAACTTTTCTCAACAGTTGGCACCAGATGAAATGTCTCTAATGATCTCCTTAGAGAGGTCACCGAGTAAGGCGACAATGTCTTTGACGATGTTTCTAAAAGTGCCAGGGCACCTGGGTGGCTCAGTTGGTTAAGCCTCCAACTTCGGCTCAGGTCATGATCTCGCGGTCCGTGAGTTTGAGCCCCACATCAGGCTCTGTGCTGACAGCTCAGAGCCTGGAGGCTGCTTCGGATTCTGTGTCTCCGTCTCTCTCTGACCCTCCCCTGTTCATGCTCTGTCTCTCTCTGTCTCAAAAATAAACATTAAAAAAAAAATTTAAACTTTTGCACACAAAATTGAAGCCTGTGACTTATTAAGGAGGAAACAGCCAGATCTGGGGCAACAAAGCCTGCTTTCGAGTAGGCACCAAGCAAGGGCACGTCCAGATGGAGCCCTGCCATAAGTGAGCCAAGAAGAGTGGAGGACACAGGGAGATCTGGAGAGTTCTGGAGGTCAAAGATTTGAGCTGGTGTTTAATTTAGGCTTTTTGACATCTGATCTATATATTAAATTATTATTCACTGAGTTCCTACTATGTGCCAGACACAGTGCTCAGTGTCGGTGTAGAGTGAATAAAAAAGATGTGATCCCTGCCCTCTTGGAGGTTACAGAGTTAAGAGAGGCACATAGAGAACAAATACACAAAAATAAATATGTAATTAAGAGAGAATAGGGGCGCCTGGGTGGTGCAGTCGGTTAAGCGTCCGACTTCAGCCAGGTCACGATCTCGCGGTCCGTGAGTTCGAGCCCCGCGTCAGGC